TTTGCCTGGGATGAATTCCTTAATCTCTCTCAGCCCAAATTTTATCTTCTTTAGAGTAACGTTGGTGGTTTGAAAAGAAACCCTCAAAAAGATATGTCCATGTCCTCATCCCTGAAACCTACGGTGGTGACCTTACTTGGAGAAAGGGTCTTTGAGTGTCCATGCCTCTGTCATCCACCTTGGCTAGACCCGTTCTCTTCCATGAGAACGTATCATCAATAAACTTTGCTTACATACCAAAAAAAAAAAAAACGTAAGAAAAGGGTCTTTGCGGATATAATAAAGTTAAGAATCTCAAGATAAATTCATCCCGGATTATCCAGGTGAGCCCTCAATACAATGACAAGTGTCTTTATAAAAAAACAGAAGAGACGATACAGGAAGACAGAGGAAAAGACCCTATGAAGATGGAAGAAGAGATTGGAGTCATCCAACCACAGCTAAAGAACGCTTGCCTGTAACCACCAACACTGGAAGAGGCAAGAAAGGATTCTCCCCAGAGACTTTGGAGGGAGTGCAGCCCTGCCAACACCTTGATTTTGAACTTCTAGCCTCCAGAACTGTGAGAGAATACATTTGTGTTTTGGGGTTTTTTAGCCATCTATGTATGTAGTGATTTCTTATGGCAGTCATAGGAAACTAATATATAATACATGATGATGATATGATGATGATGATAAAAATGAAAAAATTCCTAGACACTGCCTTTTTTCACAATCCTTCCTTCCAGAAGTAACTGCTGTTAAGGTAGTTTGTTGTTGCATGTATGTGTAGCTTTCCAGACATTTTCTTTTTAATGTAATATGTGTGAATAAACTATCTATTTTCATGTTTCATGATTCAAAAAGTATAAAATGGTATACTGTGAAAATTCTTACTCCAACTCTGTCCCCCATGCTTCCATTTGCTCTCTTCAGCAACAACCAGTATTAATTTCTTGTCTCCTTCCAGTGATATTTTAAGTATATGTGAGAAAAATGTATATTTCTGCCATCATTGACACAAACAACAGGGTGTTAATACGAATGTTCTACACTTGCTTTTCTCACTTAATAATGTGCCTTGACTATCACTCCATATGAATGCACAAAGAGCTTCCTTAGCCTTTTTTTTAAAAAACACAGCTGAAGAGTATTCCATTGTGTGGGTGTGCCATAATTTGTTTAACCAACCCCCTGCTGATAAAAATTTACATTGTTTCTAAATATTTTGCTGTTTCAAGCAATGTTGCAGAAGATAATTTAGCATTACATCATTTCAAAGGTATGCATATTCAAAGTATGCACTTGCAAAGGCATGTAGTTTAATTTCTAGAAGTTGAGTTGCTGATTGAGAGTATTGTAGAATTTACACTTTTGAATTAGCATTCAAAGTTCAGAAATTTTCATATAAAATACAGATTTTTAAGTTTACTTGGAAAATTATAGATCTGGCAACACTAACTATCACGCAGGACAAAAATTGGCTGGAGCTAAGTAGCAACTGCTCCCTGTAGGAGGTATTTCCCTGGTCACCACAGTTCTTACCCAACCCATTTTGCTCCTTTACATTATTTTCCTGATGCCTGAAACCCTTGGAGTTTTTAATCCCTATCTTCTTTTGTTTTGATTCTGAGATCACTCGGCAATCTTTAGATTATGATCTAATTCCCCTTAAGTCTGTCTGCAGGGAAAGGATCATTTGGCATTCCAAGCGTTTGGCCCCTGTGCTATGATATCTCATGGTCAAGTATTAAGTAGCATGGTTTGTGATTTTTCGATGTATCACAGTGTATTATGAGAATGAATGTGCTGAGCACACCAACATAAGTATTCCAAATGGTGGGTGTAACAGTTACTTATTACTTTATATTATTAAACTGGCAATAAACTGTCTACCTCAACACATTTTAAATTTTAATAATGTGAGTCATTTATAATAGGGCCTGAATCTCTGACAAAAGTTAGTCTTCAGGCCTTAACAAAAACAAACCCAGAGCTTGGCTCCCTAATTATCAAGGCCCTGCTCTAGAAAGGATTACACAGCTCAAATCTGCCTTTCCCACAGTGTTTCTCGTATTAGTGAACAAATTACCTGGAGGTCTTATTAAAATTCATGTTCTGATTCAGTACATACTTAGTAGGGCCAGCAAGAGATTTAGAATCTCTAACAAGCTCCCTTGTTTGTACATTGAGTAGCAAGGTCTTAGAAGACACTTTCTAAGTCCCACTGCTGATTTCTTTTTTTTTTTTTAAGAGAGAGAAGGGAGGGAGAAAGAGAAGGAGAGAAACCACACATTGACGTGTGGTTGCCATTTGCACACCCCCAACTGGGGACGTGGCCTAAAACCCAGGCATGTGCCCTGGCTGGGAATTGAACTGGCGATCCTTGTGGTTCACAGGCTGGTGATCAATCCACTGAGCCACACCAGCCAGGGTCCACTGCTGATTTCTGTCAGTCTGATCTCTTCAGCCTTCTCAGGGCAACGAAGAAATCAGATTGGAATATGATGTTCCAAATAGCTCCTGTTTATCTTCAGCATTCCCCATTCCTAATTTCCACACCTAAACTACCCATGCACACATCAGAAAGCTGAAAATCTAATAGAAACATAATCAGAGCAAAGCAAAGCTTTCCCCTCAATACACATTTCAAAGCACCACATGTACAAGGCAATATGTCAGGTGTCAGGAGAAACAGAGATATTAAGACAGGACCTCAGCATTGGGTTAATAACACCTCAGCAGAGGAGACAGCAACATACACAGATAACTCACAAGTGGAAATGAACTAAGGTAATGGAAACACAGAGAAGTTAATTCTGAAGAAGGTGGCTGATAATCTAGGATAGTGACTTTTAAACTCTGGTCCCAGTACCAGTAGGATGTGCATCACCTGGAAAAATGTTAGACATGCAAATCCTCAGATCCACCTAAGCCAACTCCAGGGGAGGTGTGGGGCAGCATTGTGCTTTAACAAGCCCTCCAGGTGATTCTAATACAAGCTGAAGTTTGACAACTCCTGATCTACAAACACTTCACAGAGAAGACATTTGAGATGGACCTTAAGGAATTAAAATTTCACCGGACAGAAAGGAAAAGGACATTCCAGGAAAGAGAGCACAATGAACAAAGGTATGGAGATGCAAGGTAAAATATATAAATATGTTGGGGAAATAGTACATAATCAGGAGTGTGAACAGAAAAATGGGAAACACAGCCAAGGAGGTAAGTTAGGGCCAAATTATGAAGAGCCTAAAGATTGTGAAGTTTGAACTTTGCTTTATAAAGATAAAGAAAACACAGTTTTAAAGCAAGTGACATGAAGTGACATGATCAGAGCTGCATTTTAAAACTGCATTTAGCATCACCCTTCGCCTCTACCCACTAGAAGCCAGTAGTGGGAGATAGCTAACATATTCGAAATATCCAAATCAATGAAGTTATTGGTGAAAGTGAAAAATGTGTCTTTTATCTTACAAAAAAACTAAACAGACTTTTTGGTCAACCCATTATCTAGAGAAGCCCTTAGCTTCACTGTACTTTAATTCCTCACGTTTCAACAATTAGAAATAGGCACTTGAAATGGCCCCAGGGCACTGTGGGCAAGTGAAATGGGCATAGTGAAAGTGTGGTCAGCAATAGTGAATTTCAAGGACTTTGATAATCCCGGCTGCTTAGTCTCAGTTTCCAGTCTTACACAGCAGGTTGTGGTTTCTACTTTTTAAATGAAGTCAGGTGCAGTTAATGTAAAGATTGCTCAGCAAATTAAAGAAATAATGAGATAATATGGTAGTCAATAGTGCTGGCTCAGCAAATACACCTGGTTATCCCTCCTTCCACAGATGGAGCCCTGTTTTTCCTGGCCCCCTTGTGACTAGGTAGGGCCTTATGACTCATGAATTGCAACCGGAAGTGTACTGAGTCACTTTAATTGCTAATGTGAGACCCTCTAGCTTTCTTTCCTTCTGGCATGATGATTCATTAGCCTAGGTTCCTGAGTAACTATCATCAGCAGAGCTCCACTGCCAACTTTCTAGAGATGATTATGCAGTGTGAACAGGAAATATACTTTTTTAAAGATTTTGGAGTTGCTGCCACAACATAACCTAGTCTATCCTAATACAGATACTATTTTAACACATATCAAATTCTTTACGTTAAATAGACAGTCAACATCCAGTCCTAATGAAGGTGTGGGAAAACAAACACTTCTAGAAATTTGCTAGTGGGAGTAAAAATTGTTTCAACTTTTTTGAAAAGCAGATTCTATTGTGAAAAAAAGTACTTATTTTTTATTTTCTCAGATTCCATTCTGGGGAATCTCTTCCACAAAAATAAAAGTACTGTTTCAAAAGGATGTTAATGTTTACTGAATTATTTGTAGTGGCTAAAAACGGAAAATAATCTAAATTTCTAAACAAGGTTTAGCCAAACTATGAAGTATTATGCAACTGTCAAAAAGACAAATTTTATCGTTTTTATTGACTTCAAAGTATGTCCGGACCCCCTCCCCTCAAAAATCCATACGCACTATCTTGTACGTACAAGCCTAGAAAACTAAGCTGTTTTACCTTAAAGGAGCAGGGGTGGTAAGTGATGGGGGAGCAGAGGATAGTATTTTGTTTTGCTTATTACATCTTGCTATTCTCGACTTGTTACAATTTGTATGGTTTTTGTAATTAAACAAACTCAAAAGAACAAAAATCTAGGACTGCCAACTGAGTGCTCACGCGGGAAGCTTGGTATTGCTGCCACTAGTTGGGGGTGGAGGAAGAGGCGGAGCTTCGGTAACATTTCCAGCCCACGCCTACTTTACCCTACCAATGGCTTCTCACGTGTGCCCTGGAAGGCTCGCTTTGACGCATGCGTACTCGCCTAAGTTTTGTCTAGCCTCTGAGGGGCGCCCTACAGTATTGAGTTTGGCCCCGTTAGGCTACCGTCGTGGGGACCGGAACGGCACCTGAGGTTTGCTTCCGGGCGTCTTTTTTGCTTCCCCTTCCCTCCCTCACGGTTCTTCCCCTCCCCCTATTCCCCTTTCCCTTTTCGTTCTCTCCCAAAGAGGCCGACCAGTGAATCGTGAGTCTGGGGTCTGGTTGGTGAAAAAGAGCTCTTGTAGCTGGAAGTAGGGAGGTGTGGGAAATTAATTTGAGGTAATTGGAGGCCAGGGGCTTGTCTGAAATGTTTTGTTTTGGGGAGGAGGTCGGGCCTGGGTGGGAAGTTTTCCCCGTGAGGCGAGCGGGGGCGGGGTTGAGCAGGGTTTCTCGAGGCGGGGTGGGGGTGGTGGGACGCACCTCTAAAATGGGTAACACGGGGTGGGGCGATATGTGGGCAAGGGAAAGATGGAGGCTGTGAGAACTGGCATTGGGGTCGCAGGACGTTCTCCCTTTCAGTTTTACTTTAACCGTTTGATCTAGAAAAGCAGGTATAATTGGATTGTAGATTTTAGGTAGCCCCATTTTATTCCTAGGCTGCTTTATTTCCCTCTGCTTTGGAGAAACCTCTGTGCTGCAAGCTTTTCTGTGGTTAAGTATTACAGACTTTTAAAAAAGTAAATTTCCACATGGAAGCGAAGTAATGTAAAGGAAACAAATAATTAAACAGTGAGTTATAGACCACCTCTTACCCTCTTGATGGAGATATTTGTTCAAACTAGGCAATAGCATGCAAAGACTTATTTAGTCAATTTTAAGGAGTACAGGTCACAGGAATACAGATATGCCTCCTTTTTTGTGTGTTTCACAGATACTACTGTTTTTTACAAACTGAAGACAAAGATCGTCTATCAGCAAAAATATTATCATTCACTTTATTGCAATACTCGGTTTATTAAGATTTTCTGGAAGCCAAACCCTCATGCCTGTGTCTTCCTCAATAAATTAGTTCTCTTCAGTTTCCTAAAACATTTCCAGTATCTCCCTGTTGAATAATATATGCCCCCTCTAAACTTTTAAATCCTTATTCAGGCCTGTAGTCTGTAACATAAGATCAGAACTACAAAAGTCTCAGCATCGTATACTGAAGAATGGGGAGAGGGAACATAGAATCAAACTTAACAATATTTAAATAACAAGGGATGAGTTTTATTAGGGGACTGAATTCTTTATTGAGGTTGTAATGACTCCAAAAGTAATTTCCTTTTTTTGTAGAAGACAATAGCATGTCATCCCTCCCTGGGTGCCTTGGTTTGGATGCAGCAACACCTGCAGTGGAGTCTGAAGAGATTGCAGAGCTGCAACAAGCAGTGGTTGAGGAGCTGGGTATCTCCATGGAGGAACTTCGGCAGTTCATCGATGAAGAACTGGAAAAGATGGACTGTATACAGCAACGGAAGAAGCAGCTAGCAGAGTTGGAGACGTGGGTAATACAGAAGGAATCCGAGGTGGCCCATGTTGACCAGCTCTTTGATGATGCCTCCAGGTAAGGACTACATGGGAAGTAGGAGGAAATCTCTCCATTGGCAGACATTTCTAATGTATAATTCATTATTACATTATGCCAAGCACTGTATAGTTTACAAGCTACAGATGTGTAGAACCTTACTCTTTCTCAAAAGTTAAGAGTCTAGGCCCTGGCCAGGTAGCTCAGTTAGTTAGAGCATTGTCTCAATACACCGAGGTTGTGGGTTCAACCCCTGGTCAGGGCGCATACAAGAATCAACCAGTGAGTAAGTGGAACAACAAATCAGTGTCAGTCTCTCTGTCTCCCCCCCCCCCCAAGTCCTCTCTCTCCCTCCTTCCCCTCTCCTCCCTGTCTCTTTCTAAAAATCAGTTTAAAGAAAAGCTAGTGTCCAATATCTTACCTCTCAACCACCCATATATAGAATATTCATCTCTATTAGAGCCTAATATATGATCAGCAGTAGGGGAGCCCAGATTTTGAGTCCCTTTCCCTTTCTCTTGCAGTCTACTTCAGAATGATTGCTTTGTTTTCTTAGTAGAATGGCCTAGGGAATAGAGATCATATGGATTGTCTTATATAACTACAGAGTGTTAATAAGTTCCTAAACTTCCAGACTATTTGTTCCTGGTGCCCTAGTTGTCACTTAGAAAGCATTTTCAAATAACGAAGTAAATAGTGAGGTATGTTTGAAAGGACCATACTTTGGGCTTATTTTGGGTTTTTGAGAAGCTAGTCTGGAAACCACAATTGAAACATTTTTGTATGAGCGAAGCATTCTAAATTCTAAACAGACACATTTAGAATATGGCTGTTTATAAATTAAAGTCAGCTTTTAAATTTATATAAATTCTAATGGCTCCTACACCTCCTGCTGGCTTTGACCTTTTCTACATGTGTTCCAATATTAGGGCAGTGACTAATTGTGAGTCTTTGGTGAAGGACTTTTACTCCAAACTGGGACTACAGTATCGGGACAGTAGCTCTGAGGATGAAGCTTCCCAACCTACAGAAATAATTGAGATTCCTGATGAAGATGATGATGTTCTCAGTATTGATTCAGGTAAGAGATGAAGCTATTGAGAGGAAAGTCTCAGGACCAAAATTGAAACAGTGGAAGATGAGCACATAGAAGATAAAGGAAGGGAGGAGAAACCATCTTCACTAACTTCATATTCTAAACTGTTGAGCTTGTCTGTTACAGAAAAAAATAGAACATTGTTAGTATCATAGGTGTCTTGTACCTGCCACTTTCTGATTGAATTACCCTTCTTTCCCATTTTTATGTAACATCTATTTTGAATTCCCTTGCTTTTCTTTTATAGGTGGCATTGCACCTGTGTATATATTGCAAAACATTTTTGGGTTTGTATACTTTGTAACAGTTTTATGAAGGTGTAATTTACATACTATAAAATTTACCCACTGTAAGTGTACAGTTTGAGTTTTAGTACTGCAGTCTTCACCACAGTCCAGTTTTAGGGCACTTGGTCACCCCAGAAAGTCCCTTTGTGCTGTTTACTCAGTCTCCATGTGTCCCTCACCCCTGCACTGCTGATCTGCTTCCTTTCTATAAAGTTTTGCTTTTTCTAGAAATATCATATAAATAAAATCACAGTATGTCTTCTTTTGTGTCTGGTTTCTCTTAACAAATGTTAAGGGAAATGTTTGAGGTTCATCCATGACTTGTTGCATGTATCAGTAGTTTTCTTCTGAGTAGTACTCCATCGTATGCCTATACCATGTTTTTATCCATTCCTCAATTTGGGTAGTTTACAGTTTGGAGATAATATGAGTAATGCTGCTATGAACATTGGTGTATAAGTCTTTATGTGGATGTGTGGTTCATGTCTCTTGGATAGTCTACTGAGGAGTGGAATTTTGTTAGGTCTTATGGTAAATGTATTTTGAGTTTTTAAGAAGTTGCTCTGCAGTATTACATTCCCACTAGCAAAGTGTGGCGGTTCTAGTTTCTCTACATCTTTGTCAATGCTTGGTCTTAAGTAGTCTTTTATTTTAGCCATTTTAGTGTGTGTGGTGGGTGTCACATTATGATCATGGCTTGAATTTCCCTAAGGACATTGAGCTTATTTTTACATACTCACTTGCCATTTATTATGTATATTCTTTGGGGAAAAAACTGCTCAAATTTTTGGCCTATTTAGAAAAAAGTCGGGGTTTGTCTTTTAATTATTGACTTAGAAGACTTAATATACTTTAGGAACAGTTCATTTATCAGATACATTTTACATTTTCTCCCTCATATGGTCTTTTCATTTTCTTAATGAAGTCTTTAGGGTTGAGGGTGGTTTGTTTATTTTGCTATGGCTATCCAGTTGTTCTACAACCATTAGTTCTTTAGGTATTCTTGTCAGAAATCAACTGGCCATGTATGTGAGTGTCTGTTGATCTAAATGTTTATACCAGCACCACTCTCTCTTAATTTCTATAGCTTTATGGTAAGTAGTAAAATCACTTAGTGAAAGGCCTCCAGATTTATTTGTATGTTATATAATTTAGGAACAGCTTGTCCGTTTCTAAAACAAAAAAAAATTTTTTTAACTACTAGGATTTGTAATAGGAACTGAATTGAATCTAAAAATTAATTTGGGAAGAATTGCCTTTTTAACTGAGTCTTCTAATGCATGAACATGGTACATCTCTCCTAAGTAATTTGTTCTTTATAATGTTGATGTGAATAGAATTGTTTTCTTAATTTCATTTTAGGATTGTTTGTTGCTAAGGTATAAAAATATAGTTGGTTTTTGTATATTGATGTGGTAGTGTTATTAAGCTTACTTACTAGTTCTAGAAGGTTTTTGTGGCTCTATTAGGATTTTCTATATATTACATCATATTGTCTACAAATAAGGTTAATTTTACTTCTTCCTTTTTAATTGGGATACTTTTCATTTCTTTTTCTTTCTTGTACTTGATAAAACCTCCAGTACAGTGTTGAATAAAGGTTTTGAGAGCAGACATCCTTTCCTTGTTCTTGATCTTAGGAGGAAAAGCATTTGATGTTTAAGCATTAATTATGATGTGATCTGTAGGTTTTTTGTAGATATCTTTTATCACGTTGATGAGGGAAGTTGCTTGTATTTCTAGTTTGCTGAGTGTTTTTATCCTAACTAGATTGTGTTTTAGATTTTATCAGCTACTTTTTCTGTATTTTTTTGATATTAAACCAACCTTGCATTCCTGGAATAAACCCTTCCCCCTTTGTTTTAATATATAACCCTTTTTATGTGTTACAGTATTGGATTCGGTAATATTTTGTGAAGAATTTTTGTACCACCCTGGCTGGTGTGACTCAGGGGATTGAGCTCTGGCCTGCAAACTGAAAGGTCACTGGTTCAATTCCCAGTCAGGGCCCATGGTCCCCAGTTGAGGATGTGTGAGAGGCAACCAGTCGGTATATCTCTCACATACTGATGTTTCTCTCCCTCTCTTTCTCCTTACCTTCCCCTCTCTCTAAATGTAAATAAGTAAAATCTTTTTTAAAAAAAAAGAATTTTTGTCTCTATATAGACAACAGTATGGTGATTACCAGAGGGAAAGGAGGGGATAAATGGTGATAGAAGGAGACTTGACTTGGAGTGGTGAACACACTATACAGTATACAGATGTTGCATGATAGAATCGTACCCTGAAACTTATATAATTTTATTAACCAATGTCACCACAATAAATTCAATTTAAAAGATTTTTTTGAACTTGTGGTCATGCAGGCTGTTTGTAGTTGCATTGTTTGACTTTCGTATCAGGGTAATACGGGCCTTCTGCTTTAGGAAGTTCTCTGAGTTTGTGTGGAATGATATTATTTGTTCCTTAAATGTTTGATATATTCAGCAATCGTGGCCTGGAATTTCTTTGTAGAAAAAAAATTTTTTAAATAAGCTTTTTAGTTTGAAATAATTTTACATTAAACAGAGAGATCCTGCATACCTTTTGCCAGTTTCTTTGAATGTTAATTAGCATACTGTGTTACATTGGTACATTGGTACATTGGTTAAAAGTAGGAAGCAAATATTGGTTCATTGCTTTTATCTAAACTCCACACATTGATTTCTGGACTTTTTCTGTTCTAGGATCCAATCCAGGATACCACATTGAATTTATTGTGAGGAGCTTTTTAATCTCTAATTTATTTTCTTTACCTGATATGGCTATTTCATATTTTCTATTCCATCTCTCTTTATCTTTAATCTTGGGTAATTTTATTATGTATCTGGGTGTGTTCTTCCTTGGGTCCAACTTATTTGGGACTCCTGAGCTTCCTCGGCTTGCATGTCTATTTCTTTTGCCAGATTGGGTAAGTTCTCCTTCATTATTTTTTCAAACAGGCTTTCAGTTTCTTGCTTTTCCTCTTCTCCCTCTGGCACCCCTATGATTCAGATGTTGGAACATCGAAAGTTGTCCCAGAGGTTCCTATGCCTCTCCTCATTGTTTTGAATTCTTGTTTTTTCATTCTGTTCCAGATTGTTGATTTGAGTCCCAGTTTCCTTTCCTTCTCTGATGGTTCCCTGTATATTTTTCTTCATTTCACGTTGTATAGACTTCACTTCTTCCTTTATTTTGCATTCATACTCAGTCATTTCTGCGAGCATCCTGATTACCAGTGTTTTGAACTTTGCATCAGATAGTGTCTGTTCATCACTTAGTTCTTTTTCTGGAGTTTTGATCTGTTCTTTCATTTGGGCCATATTTCTTTGTCTCAGTGTCCTGTTACGTTGTAAGGGGCGGAGCCTTTGGTATATGCCACGGCGGAGCAGCCCACTTTGCTGCGTTATGGCATTGTCTGGTTGAGGGGTCAGAGGGAACAATGCCACTTGCTCGGCTCTTGTCCTGCTTTCAGTCACTTCCTCCACTTCCCACGAGGAAATTGGGCACTCCTGGTGCTGATTCCTGGGTGGATGGGTTCGTGTACATTCTTGGACCCTGTGGATCCCTCCAACAAACTATCCTGTGAGACTGGGAGTTTCTCCCACTGCCACAACCCCCACAGGTGTTTACAGCCAGAGGTTTTGAGGCTTTATTTCCCTGCACTGGAACCCTGGGTTGCATGGTCTGTCTCACTCCCTAGCTGTTCCTCCCAGTTTACCCACACGTGAACGTGGGACTGCCCAGTCCGCCATTGCCGCACATCCTCTCCACCCCAGCAGCCTGTCTCCACCCCTCCTACCAGTTTGGATGAATGTTTCTTCTTTAACTCCTTGGTTGTCAGACAGTTTGATTTTCTGGCAGTTCTGGTGGTTTTTGTTTTTAAATTGGTGGTTGTCCTCCTTTTGGTTGTGTGACGAAGCAAAACATATCTACCTATGTCTCCATCTTGGCTGGAAGACTTGTTTCTTTTAAAATGCATTTTTTTCTTCATTTTTTTTTAAAGATAATATTTATTTACTTTTAGAGCGGGGAAGGGAGGGAGAAAGAGGGAGAGAAACATTAATGTGTAGCTGTCCCCTGCATGCCCTACACCGGGGACCCAGGCCACAAACCCAGGCTTGTCCCTGACTGGGAGTCGAACCGGGAATTGGTAGGTTCACAGGCTGGTAGGTTCCCAATCCACTGAGCCACACCAGCCAGGGCTCGTTTCTGATATTGGTTATTTGAATCTGTTTTTCTCTATTAGCTAAAGGTTTGTCAATTTTGTTGCTCTTTTTCCAGGAACCATTTGTGGGGTTCATTGATTTTGTTTTTCTACTGTTTTATGTTTGATTTCTACTCTGATCTTTATTATTTTCTTCCTTCCATTTAACTTGGGTTTGATTTTCTCTTGTTTCTAGTTTCTTAAAGTAGAAACTTGGATTATAATTTTTTTCTTTTTTTTAAAGATTTTATTTATTTTTTTAGAGAGGTGGGAGGGGAGGGAGGAGAGGGAGAGAAGCATCCATGGCGATGAGAAAGACACATCACCTCTTGCACGCCCCCCCAAATGGGGACCTGGCCCGCAACCCAGTAATGTGCCCTGACTGGGAATCACATCAGCAACCTTTTGGTTCACAGGCCAGCACTCAGTCCACTGAGCCACACCAGCCAGGACAACTGTGGTTGTTGTTTTATCCTTTAGTGTTACTTTAATAAGAAATATTAATAATAATTATCATTATTACTTACCCAAGGACAGTGTATTGTTTTAGAAAGATGGGAAGCAGAGGCAAGGGGAGAGAACCATTGATTTGAGAGAGGAACATCAATCAGTTGCCTCTTGTACATGCCCTGACTGGGGACCAAACCTGCAAACTTAACATGTGCCCTGACTGGGAATCAGTCTGGTGGCCTTCTGGTTTACAGGACAACACTCCATCCAACTGAGTCACACAATCCAGGGTAGAAGCTTAGATTGTTGATTTCAGACCTTTCTAATATAAACATTTAAAGCTATAAATTTCCTTTTAAGCATTGTTTCACCTGCATCTCATAAATTTTTATATGTTGTATTTTCCTTTTCATTCAACTCATAATTTTTTATTTCCTTTGTGATTTTTCTTTGACCAGTAGGTTATTTAGAAGTACATTGTTTGATTTCCAAATATTTGGGACTTTCCCAGATTTATTCCTGTTGTAAATTAACTTCATTGTGGTCAGAAAACATACTTTGTATGATTTCAGTTCTTTAAAATTTTTTTACACTTTTTTAATGGCCTAGGATATTGTCTGTTCTGGAGAATAAACTATGCTTGAAAAATAATATGTATTCTGCTGCTGGAGTGTTTTATAAATACTGCAAGAAAAATTAATCTTGTATGATTAACACATATCGTATGGCTCTATATATATGAAACGTCTAGAATAGACAAATCCACAGAGACAGAAAGTAGATTAGTGGTTGCCAAGAGTTTGGCATATTGGTTATTTGAATCTGTTTTTCTCTGTTAGTCTAACTAAAGGTTTATCAATTTTGTTGCCATTTTTCAAGGAACCATTTATGGGGTTCATTGATTTTGTTTTTCTACTGGGAGGAGGCTGGAATGGGAAGTTGCTGCTAATAAGTATTTGTATCACCCTGAAAAGAAAACCACATAGCATACTCAGTGCTTTTCCTTTTTGGGGTGGTGAAGATGTTCTGGAATTAATGAAGTGGGGTATAAACTTTGTGAGTATACTAAAATCCACTCAAACATTTTTAAAGGGTAAATTTTGTAGTATGTGAATTATACCTGATTTTTTTTTATTTTTTAGTGAAATTTAAAATTTATTTCCTTGGTTGCCCTAGTCACATTTCATCTGCTTAGTAACCACATGTTAACAGATTGGACAGTGCAGCTATAGAACAATTTTATCATAGCAGGGCATTCCATTGTGCAGCACTATTCAAGAATAAATATTTTTGCTTAATTTGTTCATTACATCAGATTTTTCAGATCATTCAGGATCCATGAGTAAGTAACTTATAAAAATTCAAATATACAATGAAAACCCAAAATCCTATAGACCACTTGCCCCTAGTACTTTATCCTTGATAAGCACTCTCGTCTGTTTGCTGTGTATCTCTTTGAACCCTTTTGGTACTTTTACATATATATGTATATCTATGTCTACTTTGCAGTTGCTGTTGATAATACTTCCATGATAATGCTTTTAAGTAGCTCAGTTATTGGTTTCTTGAAAATTCTTGTGTTAAGTATCTTACACTCATTAGAGTTTTTTTCACCCATAGGTGATGCTGGGAGCAGAACTCCAAAAGACCAGAAGGTGAGCTGGGGTGGGTAGGGGAAGGGTAAAAGATAAGAATATGATAATAGGAGAAACTTTTGGCCTGACATAAAAAAATCATTCACTCTACAATCAGCCCTACTTGTCACAGTCCTATAACGGACGTTGTAAGAATGCAAAAAAGGTTACTTAGAGATTCATGCACTGAATGCTATATGAATATAGAGTTTGGCAGTACTGAGCTAGTTGAGATTAATCAAGAAAGCTTTCTAAAATTGATTTCTGAATCAAATTTGTAAGAAAGTGCAGTTTTGCCTGATAAAGTAACCGTAAGCTGCCAAACATAACTGATTCTGTTTTGTTTCTTTGACAGACAAGTTACTTCTTGTTCTAAAGTTATTTGTAACTGATGCTGCTATTTCAGTTTCCTTTATGCCCTTCCTTACAGCTTCGTGAAGCTATGGCTGCCTTAAGAAAGTCAGCTCAAGATGTCCAGAAGTTCATGGATGCTGTCAACAAGAAAAGCAGTTCCCAGGATCTACATAAAGGTTAGGATCAGGAGGTACCTTGATGCAGGTGGGGGTGCATTCCTACAGAGATTTCATGGATAACTGGCTTTGTTTTAGCTTCTCAGAATCCTTCTCCGCCTGTATTGGGTTCTTTTAACACCCCAGGCTATATAAGATTATGATTTTGTTTTTCCTTATTGTCTCCTTAAGTCTTTTGCCTGCTGCTTTTCCCATCTGTGATGGCTTTATCCAAATACCTTTTTAGCTTATGCGCATGGCTACTCCTTCCAGATGGGAGAATAAAGAGGAGAGTAACTCACATACTTTTAAAGCAGTCTGAAGGGAGCTTTGTGTATGGAATGGAGCTGTTAGAGGAAAAAGTTTTATAAATGTTATTTTGTATTTAATTAGTGATAATTAATGTTGTTGTTAATGAGGAGTTGTAAACAGTTGGTTAAAATGAGAAGTTCTTGAATTATATGTGCATTTCAATTATTCAGGTTTTTCCTCTTAGCATAATAATTGAGTCAGTTATGTTTCAGCTACGTTTTGTGTTTTTTGCCCAAGAGAGCAGCAAAAGTGGCTAAGGATCAGAGATTTATCCCATTATCCTTAATTACCCTACTACCCTCTTTACTTTTTCACTCTCCCCAGTCTATGCCATATCTCTTTATTATTTTTTTTTAAAGATTTGATTTATTTATTTTTAGAGAGGGGAAGGGAGGGAGAAAAAGAGGGACAGAAACATCAATGTGTGGTGGCTGCATCTCGCACGGCCCGTACCAGGGTCCTGGCCTGCAACCGAAGCATGTGCCCTGACTGGGAATCAAACTGGCGACCCTTTGGTTCGCAGGCTGACACTCAATCCACTGAGCCACACCAGCCAGTGCTATGCCATATCTCTTTAGAACAACGTTGCTTTCTTCCATAGGAACCCTGAGTCAAATGTCCGGAGAACTGAGCAAAGATGGTGACCTGATAGTCAGCATGCGCATTCTGGGCAAGAAGAGAACTAAGACGTGGCACAAAGGCACCCTTATTGCCATCCAGACGGTTGGTATGTTCAAGCTAGAGGAAGAACTAATGAAAGGCAACTTGCAGGTCTCCATTGCTGATTGTTTCTTTTCCCACAGCTTTGCCTTTTGTTTCACACAGCAGCCAGGATTTACACAGAAACTGATGGTTTCTAAAAATTTTTGTTTATCTTTCCCTTTTACTCAGGGCCAGGAAAGAAGTACAAGGTGAAATTCGATAACAAAGGAAAGAGTCTACTGTCGGGGAACCATATTGCCTATGATTACCACCCTCCTGCTGACAAGCTGTATGTGGGCAGTCGAGTGGTGGCCAAATACAAAGATGGGAATCAGGTCTGGCTCTATGCTGGCATTGTAGCCGAGACACCAAACGTCAAAAACAAGCTCAGGTACCTGGACAGAGGATTGTAAAGAGAGCAGAGGCTGGGAGCACAGCACCTGCCCTGTTCCAGTCATAGTCCAGATCTCACAATTAGCCTTTGTGCTCTTAGTCCCCAGTGGCCAAAAACCCTCTCTCTTTCTTTGCCCCTGGAGTCATGTGAGTGATTCTGTCTTTCTCCCTGCTCCCTGCCCTTTTTTTTTTTTTTTTTTTGAAAAAAATTTGGTTTCTGCTAAAGTAAGTTTTATGAGAAAACTTGGGGGAAATCTAGGAGGAGAGTGATCAGGTTGGATTAATGGTTGGGTAATAGGAAATTGATGTAAAAGGAAGAAATAAAGTGGAGACTAAGTGCTTTTCAGAAAATGAATCTGATAGTGGAACAAGAATAAATAGCTTTTGGAAAAGTGGGGCTCTATTGGGTAGATTAAGGGAGAATTCTGACTTCCTAGGGTAGGAAGAAAGAATAACACGAAGAAAGTAGTAAATTGAAACATCTTCCCTGAGTGTGTCTTGTTTGATCCTGAGGAGTGGAAGCTGTGATAAGATAATGCCTGTTGGTCGTGTTAAATATAATCCCCTGATCTTCATACCATCACTCTTTTCTTACAGGTTTCTCATTTTCTTTGACGATGGCTATGCTTCCTATGTCACACAATCTGAATTGTATCCCATTTGTCGGCCATGTGAGTATCCCTCCTTTCTTCCTTAGTTCTATTCATGTTCCTCTACCTTGTGTTTCTTCTAAAGACAAACAAGCCCTAGTGTTTTTGGTGCTTCAGTGTCAAAGAACATAAGTTTGATTGATGTCCTTTGGGAGACACAGTTTATTTGTTCATCACAGTGGTGAGTTTGTAGCCAAAGAGTGAAACACTGGAAGATCATGACTGACCTTGGGTGGACAATCATATTGTAGATGTGTTTTGATTTCATATCTTAAGTGATTTAGATTTGAGAAGATATTAGTCTCATACTTCTTTCCTAGCCTCATACTTTATCTAATGTGTATAAATCTGTAGTCTGAACAGTACATTCTACAGAAGCTATGTTAGATGGGGGCTTCATGGTGTCCTCCATATTTGTGATTCAGGCGTGAGGACAGACTCTTACAGAAGCATTGAGGGTTTTTGTTTTGTTTTAAGGGATTTTTAAAAAATCTTCACCTGAGGATATGTTTATTGATTTGAGAGAGAGAGAGAAAGAGAAAGAAATATCAATGTAAGAGAAACATTGATCAAACTCACAATGTAGGTGTACAGGACGATGCTCCAACCAACTGAGCCACCTGGCCAGGGCAGAAGCAATGGTTTTTAATCACAGAAGAATCAACTAACACTGCTCTGTTTCCATATAATGTGGCAGTAAATGCATTTAAGATCCCTTAAAAGCCTAATAGAGAATGAGAAGGAAAGATAATTCTTTTTTTATAAATGTCCTGATGCCACCTGATCTTTCTTAATTTACCTCTAGACATAATCAAGTTAACAGGAATTTTTGTTTGAATTTTCCTAAGGAGAAACTTCGATTTTTATGAAATGAGTGACTCACCTATATTTTATATATTTTATTTAGTATTTACTTGATTTGTATGGACATTTACACATTAGGTTCAATACCTTTTTTTTTTAATCCTCACCTGAGGTTACGCCCATTGATTTTAAAGAGAGAGGAAGGGTGGGGGTGGAGGGAGAGAAACATTGATGTGAGAGGGAAACGTCAATCAGTTGCCTCCGATACACACCCCAACTGGGGATCAAAGCTGCAACCTACGTCTGTGCCCTGACTGGGGATTGAACCCACAACCTTTTAGTGTATGGGATGATGCTCCAATCACCTAAGCCACGGCTTCAGTTCAGGGCTTCAGTTCAATACTTTGAGTTTTGCTTCCCTTGAGGTTATGATTTCATTTACTCTTCTGTCCCTCCCAATTAAAAAAAAACAGCAAACATCTCCTTGTCAGCCATTTTTCCATATCAAGACATGCCCTCTCTTAAACCTATTTCTTCCTTGGGACAGTGAAAAAGACTTGGGAGGACATAGAAGATATCTCCTGCCGAGACTTCATCGAGGAGTACATCACTGCTTACCCCAACCGCCCCATGGTGCTACTCAAGAGTGGCCAGCTTATCAAGACTGAGTGGGAAGGCACGTGGTGGAAGTCCCGAGTCGAGGAGGTGGACGGCAGCCTAGTCAGGATCCTCTTCCTGGTACTGTTCTTCCCTAGTTTTTGATACAGAGGCTGGGTGGTTGGGGGAGCATAAGAGGCAATAATGAGGATGATTTTGTAAAAGTTCATAGTTTTTCTCTTTTCTTATGCTGTCTGTCCTTACTGTTGTGGGTCGTATTTTACTTTGTCCTTCTTTTTGTTCCTTTGTGAACGGTTGAAAATAAATTCCCTGAATTTAATTATGACAGTAATCTGTATGGTTTGTTTTCTTCTCTCTCTCTCTCTCTCTCTCTCTCTCAATATTCATATTGTATGTAGGTACAGAGAAAGTAGCCAATTATATTTGTCCGTGGTTAGAGTTTTGGTAGTATACTGGGACAAAGAAGGAAGGATCAAGGAATTTGAATTGGAAGTCTTTATGATATTTCAAGGCCCAGCTTAACTCTTAGATCTTTTATACCCATCTTTTTTTTCCCCCTCACACTTAGAGTAATATTGGGTTGGCCAAAACGTTTGGTTTTTTTCTGTAAGATGGCTCTAGTCGTGCTTAGTTGTCCCTTTTTTTATTACATTTTATTGATTATGCTATTACAGTTGTCCCAATTTATTCACTTTTGTCCCCCTCCACCCAGCACCCCCCACCCCCTCAGGCAATCCCCATACCATTGTTCATGTCCATGGGTCATGTATATAAGTTTTTTGGCTACTCCATTTCCTGTACTGTACTTTATATCCCCATGGTTATTCTGTGACTACGTATTTGTACTTCTTAATCCCCTGCCCTCTTCACCCATTCCCCCGCACCTCCTGCAATATGGCAACCATGTCTCTATTCTTCTTGTTTGCTTAGTTTTTTAGGTTGAATTGTTGACAGATATGTATTTGTTCATAGTTTTGATCTTCTTTTTCTTAAATAAATCCTTTTAACATTTCATATAATAATGGTTTGGTGATGATAAACTTCTTATCTGGGAAGCTCTTTATCTGCCCTTTGATTCTAAATGATATCTTTGCTGGACAGAGCAGTCTGCTTTTCATGACTGAATATTTCTTACCAATCCCTTCTAGCCTGCAAAGTTTATTTTGAGAAATCAGTTGACAATCTTATGGGAACTCCCCTGTAGGTAACTGTTCTTTCTCTTTTTTAAAAGAAATTTTTATTTATTTTTTGAATTTATTGCATTTGTTTCCATTACCTACCTGCTTTTCTCTTGCTGCTTTTAAGATTCTCTCTTTATCTTTAACCTTTGGCATTTTAATTATGATGTGTCTTGGGGTGGGCCTCTTTGCATCCATCTTGTTTGGGACTCTGCTTCCTGGACTTGCATGTCTATTTCCTTCACCAAATTAAGGACGTTTTCTTTCATTATTTTTCAAATAGATTTCCAATTTCTTGCTTTTTCTCTTCTCCTTCTGGCACCCCTATGATATGAATGTTGGACTGCTTAAAGTCCCAGAGGCTGCTTTACATTATCCTCTTTTTTTTTTGGATTCTTTTTTCTTCTTATTGTTCTAATTGGTTGTTTTTTGCTTCCTAATATTCCAAATCATTGATTTGATTCTCAACTTCATATACTCTACTGTTGTCTCCCTGTAAATTGTTCTTTGTCTCAATTAGTGTATCCTTCATTTCTAACTGGATCTTTTTTATGGTTTTGAGGTCCTCACTAAGTTCCTTGAGCATCCTTTTAACTGGTGTTTTGAACTCTGGATCTGATAGATTGCTTACCTCCATTTTGTTTAGTTCTTTTTCTGAAGTTTTGATCTGTTCTTTTATTTGGGCCATGTTTCTTTGTTTACTTTGGCAGCCTCCCTGTTTTTGTTTCTACATATTAGGTTGAGGCTGCTGTGACTCTCTGCCTTGGTATCGTGGCCTAAAGTAGTAGGTGTCCTGTAGGATACAGAGGCACAGCCTCCCCTGTCACCCAAGCTGGGTACTTGAGGTGCACCCTTCATGTGGGCTAAGTAGACCCTCCTCTTGTAGTTGAAACTCCTCTTGTAGTTGAAACTCCTCTTGTAGTTGGCAGGTCAATGGGAAAGATTTACCCAGGCCAGTTAGCTGTGCCTGGCTATGACCACTCATCAGCAACCTCCACACTCTGTGGAGGATCCTCTGTGTAGGAGCAGGGTAGTGGTGCTCCAGTGTGGTCTGTGCCTGTCCACTGGCTTCACAGGCTCTGGGGTTTCCCAGGTGGTGCAGGCCAAGGTCAGCCCTGACCTGTGTTCTGCCCTGGGGGCACCCTGCCTGAGCTATAGAGAAATCTAAGATGTCTGCTACTTGTGCTGGGCTTGGAGCTTCCCAGGTGAAACCAAGCTGCGAATCTAGGCTGGCTGCTGCTAGTGCTGTGCCTTGGGCCACTTAGCAAGAGGTATAGGGGATGGGGGCTTACTGAGGCTAGTTGTTTCTTGTTTGATAGGATTTTAGAAGTTGTGAAGCATGAGCCAAGAGCAGCCATTCATATCAAAAAGTCACAGTTAACAGTTTACATGGGCCTGTAAGTTGGGTGTAATGGGAGTCTCAAGGGATCTCCGGGGTGGGGCAAATAGTATTAGCCAGGTTGATGAAGTCTCAGATACGCACCCCAGGTAACTACCACCTCTGTGGCTTTCTGGAGGGAGGGTTCAAAAAAGGTACAATGGCCTCTGCCCACCTTTCTGTCTGGGAGAAAGCTGTTCCCCAGCTCTTGCCTTGATGCCAGACACTTCATTTCCTCCCTGTATGCCACTGGTACCTTTCAAACTGCTACCCTGGTGCTGGAGCTCAGAAGGAGTGAGTCTCAGTAAATTCATGCTTGGATTCTTTAAGGGGAACTGCTTGGGATCCAGAAGTTTCTTCCAGCACCTCAATCCCCACTGGTTTTTGCAGCCAGAAGTTACAGGGACTTACCTTCCTGGCACTGGTACCCTGGGCTGAGGAGCCTGGTGTGGGGCTGGGCCCTCTCACTCCTAAGATATCTCTTCCAAATTTCTATCCACCACATGCGGATATGGGACCAGCCCATTCTGCATCTCTGCCCCTCCTACCAGTTTGGATGGATGTGGTTTCTTTAAGTCTGTAGATGTCAGACTTCCGTTCAACTCTATCTGTTGGTTCTGAGTGACGATAAAATACAACTATATTTTAGTTGTAATTTTGGTATGGTTGTGCAAGGAGGCGAGCTGTGCTTACCTATGCTACCATCTTGACTTCAAGTTGCTCTTAGTTGTCTTTACATTCAAAACAACTTTTTTAGATTGTATTGTGATAGCTGTCGTCATCAGCATGCATTTAAAAACAAGTATCAAAATTGGTGAATTTTTATGTAGCCATTTTAATATTGAAGATGGAAAAAATATGCAACATTTTTAGCATTATGCTTTATTTAAAGAAAGGTAAAAATGCAAAAATAAATGATCTCTGCAGTATATGGAGCAAGTGCTGTGACTGAATGAACATATCAGAAGTGGTCTGTGAAGTTTTGTGCTGGAGATTACTCGCTGGACGATGCTGTTTGAAGCTGATAGCAATCAAATCAAGGCATTAATTGAGAACATTAAACGTTATACAAAGCGGGAGGTAGCCCACATATTCACAGTATCCAAATCAATAAGGTTATTGGTGAAAATGAAAAATGTGCCTTTTATCTTATGGAAAAAACTAAATGGCCTTTTTGGCCAACCCAGTATTTTTCCTCTGAATTATCCTAGCCTTTTGTTTCTAAGGCCTTATAATGCTGCTAATAATTCTAATACTTAGTAAAAACATCTGTTGCTCCTGAAATTTTTAAGGAATATATGGGTTGTTTGGTTTTGTTTTGTTTTGTTTTGTCTTTTTATTTCTTTTTAGAGAGAGGGGAGGGAAGGGAAGAAGAAAGAGGAGGAGAGAAACATCAATGTGTGGTTGCCTCTCATGCGCCCCCACTGGGGACCTGGTTCATAATCCAGGCATATGCCCTGGCTGGGAATTGAACCAGTGACCCTTTGTTTCACAGGCCGGCAGTCAGTCCACTGAGCCACACCAGCCAGGGCTGTTTTTCTTCTTTATATTCCTGATGCCTGTCATGGAGCCCAGCACATAGTTTATTGAATAAGAAAGGAATTCAGGGCTCATCAGAGAGATTTCCCTAAGGAAGCACATGCTGTATATTGTCCACAAATGGCAGGATAGGGTCTAGCCTTTAACCCATTCCCCTCCTTTCTCCCTCCCAATCCCCCAGGATGACAAAAGGTGTGAATGGATCTACCGTGGCTCCACACGGCTGGAGCCCATGTTCAGCATGAAGACATCCTCAGCCTCTACATTGGAGAAGAAGCAAGGGGGACAGCTCAGGACACGTCCAAATATGGGTATGTCATGAAAGACACCCTAGGGGAGGGAGGAATGGGACAAACCAGCAAATGAGAGTGTATACAGCGGCTTTCCTTTGTTTATCAGGATGACACTACTGACTCATTGGAAACAGGACGTGTGCCCTGAGTTGTTTTCAGTAGTGGTGATGGATTTGTGGTGCTGCCTCCATGTGCTGTAGCTCTGATTCATTCTAAACAACCACATAAAAGTCTGAAACAACTAACTTAGGTTGGGGGTATTGGTTATAGTAGTTACCTCTGTTACTCAGAGGAGGGTAACTGCCTTTTTGTTGTATCTATGGTTGACTTTTTTAAAGCCTAAACTCTCTGTGTTTTTGTTTTTATATGTTCCTGGCATAATTTCTGCTTGGTTTTTTTCTGACTACAGTAGTTGATCGAAGAGTATTTTTTAAAGTTTTCACCAAAGTGTAACAAAATTACTAACATTATAAATCATCTTAGGCAGGAAGTCTTGTTGATTCAAAGCCAGCCTGTGCCAGTATTCCCACTCATTGGTGTAAATACTTGGGAACTGATAATCTTAGCACTTACTCAAAATGTTTCTGTTTATACTTTTTTATATTATATAAATTGAGGGTCGGGTGTGTGCATAAATACAAGCGACACAGCTATCTTCTCAATGGTCAATTTCCTTTTTCCTCTAGGTGCTGTGAGGAGCAAAGGCCCTGTGGTACAGTATACCCAGGATCTAGCTAGTACTGGAACCCAGTTTAAGCCAATGGAGCTTCCACAGCCTACTGCCCCAAACATTCCACCTGCTGCTACACCTGTCCCACCTGCTACACCTACCCCACCTGCCCCACCTGCTCCACCTCTGTCCCCCCAGGCAGGTGACACTGAGTGAGTGCTTTTCCTTCTTTTTTGCAAGTTTCTTTTCTGTTTCATATTTCTGTATTCTTTACCATATGATCTCTTCTCTAATCTTTTAGAAGCTTGGAAAGCCAGCTTGCCCAGTCACGGAAGCAGGTAGCCAAAAAGAGCACATCTTTCCGGCCAGGATCCGTGGGCTCTGGTCATTCCTCCCCTACGTCCCCTGCACTAAGTGAAAATGTCCCTGGTGGGAAACCTGGGGTCAACCAGACATATAGGTGAGAAAATCTCAGACTCTTGGGTGGGGAAGGGAATGCACATTGTGGACTGCATGGTCACTCATAGGAGGTTCCTTAGGTCCGTGGGGTTATGATGGTGAGGAGTTCGGACTTGAAAAGAAAGCTTTAATCATGAGGTTTCCAGGAAACAGAACGTAAAAAGTAATTGAATTAGAACCTAGGTGCCTGGAAATACAGAATTACCAGAAAGTCATTTGTTAAAATTTCTTGATGAAAATGTGGTGTCATCATTGGTACAATAAAAAGAGAACACTACAGCCACTTTCCTTGCATTGTGGGAGTTAGTAAGGACATTTGTAAGACGCATAGCAGGAGAAAAGCATTGGTAGAAGACTAGACTCTGCTTCCATGATTCCATAAAAGCACAGGCAAAAACAAAATTTTAGGAAAAGGAACACACACTATTGAAATCAGTGAAGAGTAGCCAGGATGTTTCATTGGCCAAGTTTTTTTGGTAAGGCAAGGGAAAATTTGACTGTCTTGTACCATCTTTAGCTTCAAGAACACAGCTATTAGTAAGGTTAGAGAAGTGGTTTAGCCAACTAGAGAAGTAGTTACTCAGCAGAGAGATCCTGTTGTATTCTTACCTTATCTGTTGCATCTCATTTGCAGATCATCATTAGGCTCAACAGCCTCTGCCCCCGCACCCCCAGCCCCCCCAGCCCCCCCAGCATCCCCAGCGTCCGCAGCCCTGCCAGCCCTGCCAGCCCTCGCAGCCTTCCATGGCATGCTGGAGCGGGCCCCTGCAGAGCCCTCCTACCGTGCCCCCATGGAGAAGCTTTTCTACTTACCTCACGTCTGCAGCTATACTTGTCTGTCTCGAGTCAGACCTATAAGAAATGAGCAGTACCGGGGCAAGAACCCTCTGCTAGTCCCACTGCTTTATGACTTCCGGCGGATGACAGCCCGGCGCCGAGTTAACCGCAAGATGGGCTTTCATGTTATCTATAAGACACCCTGTGGCCTCTGCCTTCGGACAATGCAGGAGATCGAACGCTACCTTTTTGAGACTGGCTGTGACTTCCTGTTCCTGGAGATGTTCTGTTTGGATCCATATGTTCTTGTGGACCGCAAGTTTCAGCCCTATAAGCCTTTTTACTATATTTTGGACATTACCTATGGGAAAGAAGATGTTCCCCTATCCTGTGTCAATGAGATTGACACAACCCCCCCACCCCAGGTGGCCTACAGCAAGGAACGAATCCCAGGCAAGGGTGTTTTCATTAACACGGGCCCTGAATTTCTGGTCGGCTGTGACTGCAAGGATGGGTGCCGGGACAAGTGAGTTGGTGGGGTATTGCTGACCCTGCTATGGTTGCCTTTCTTTCTTTGCCTTAATATGTGCACTTCTTTCCTCATCTCCCTCTACCACTTGCCTCAGGTGGAGTTGCTGCCCTAAGGTCTGCATGAAAGTTATGAAACAGATGCTCCAGTTGACCCAACTGCATAACCTGGGTGCATGTGTCTTGTGTTCGTTGTTTGATTCTCCTTTTCCTTTGCTTCCTTCCATAATGCTTTCATTTGCCGCTTTATTTCATTCCGCCTCTTTATTTCATTCTCACAATGTCATGTTCTTACTGTCTTTTCCTTATCTACATGTATGAGAGAAGAAAAATTTCACTACATTATCCCCTCCCCCATCCTTTTATTAATACTTAATACTTTCAAAGAAAGTCTCATAGCTCTAGCGGTCGTACCCTTCTGTCTTATGTAGGTCCAAGTGTGCCTGCCATCAGCTAACTATCCAGGCTACAGCCTGCACCCCAGGTGGCCAAGTCAACCCTAACTCTGGCTACCAGTACAAGAGGCTAGAAGAGTGTCTGCCCACAGGGTAAGTAGTCAGGGGAAATGGAAGCACCTCAGACTGAGGAGCTGGTTCTCGGTTCTCCGTGTCTCTAGGAACCATCAGAATTCTAAAAATTGGAACCAAAGATAGAAAACTGAAGCAAACATTTATCTTATCAATTGAATCTTATTTACTGAAATCCCAGCACTTGTTTCCTCTTTGGGCTTTTCTTGAAATGAAGGCATAGGATGATTGAACAGTGTCTGATTTTCCCTTGTGATCAAAGATGATCTTAATTTTATAGCTGTGTGAATATCCTAGTAGATTATGGTTTGCTTTAACAAGTGAGATTGAGACGTGTTCAGAGAAGAAGGTAGGGAACTGATTATTTAGGACTTTGTAAATAACAATAAAAATTTGTCGTCAAATTCATGGTGTGATTAGGAAGCTGTTGTAGAATTTAAGGAGTTACATGGTCTGATCTGACTTTTGAAGATTACTCTGGCTTCTGTAAGGAAAATATGGCTTAGGCCAGCAAAATAAGAATTTGGAAGACCGATTAGGAGATGTGAGATGGTGGTTGCTGGTACTAAAATGAAAGTGTGATAGACACGAAAGAGGATAGATTTGGGGTGCATTTGGAGGTAGAGCTAAGAACTTGATAGATTGTGGAGTGGGGGAGGGAAGGGGCAGAATCAAGGACAATTCCCAAATTTTATACTTGAGCAGCTAGGTGGATGTCGATGCTTTTTACTGAGATGGAAAACCAGAGGATTTGCAGGTCAGAGTGAAATTCAGGTTCTGTTCTAGCCATATGAAGTTTGAGATGCCTGTTAAACAGTCCAAGGGGAAACATGGAGAAGGCAGTGAGATCTCTGAGAGAAGTGTAAGAGCTGGACAGGAGTGGTGTTTAAAGCCTGGATGAGTTCATGCAAAGAGAACACTGGTAATAGAGAACAGAAGGGGGCCCAGGAGTCAGCCCTGGGCTCTCCAACTAGAGACGGAGCAGGAGAGGTGGAGCCAGCATGTGAGATTGAGAAGGACAGGCGAGGGAAATAAAAGATCAGTGGGAGAGTGAGATACGCCATCGTAAATTGTTTACATATTAATATGTGAACCAGTAAACCTAGTGCTCAAGATAATTAGCAAAGAGAACAGAAGAAGAAAGGAGAAAAGCATCAGTGAAATAATGCAGAAATTTTCCTATAATTGAAGGGTCTGTGTTTCCAGGTTGGCAGGGCCAATCAGATCCCAGTGTAATGAATGCAAATAGATCCCCACTAAAACACATAATAAAAGGTGATCACTGAGCCCACAACACTGAGGGCAAAAAGAAAATCCTGAAAACTTCTAGAGGAGAAATAGAACACACGCACACACACGATGAAAAATGACTTAAACCATATCAAAATAACATTGAATGCGAGAAGGCAATTAAGAAATTTATTTAGAATTCTAAGGGAAAATTATTTCTAACCTAGAGGTCTAAACATAAGTAAACTCTTAGTTCAGTGTTAAAGTAGACTAAGAACTTATTTTATACATGAAATACATGGAACATTTCCATTTTTCCAGTCCTTGGAAAGTTACTGGAAATGTTTACTAAAATGAGGATGCAAAGTCCAGAGAGAGGAAGGTGTATGGATCCAGGAAACAGAGGACCCACCTCAAAAGAGGGGTGAGGGAAATCCCACAGAAAATAGTGAGGTGAAGGGGAGTGAAGGAGGCGTCCAGACTAACAGCTGGGTGTAGAGAATAGCCAGTGTGAGAGTGGGCCAACCCTGGCTGCAAAAGGGACTTCAGGAAAATGAACAATTTGTTAGAAAACCTTCAGTGTATCTGTTATCTTCAGAGGACATCGAGACTGCTGAGGAGATCAGGAGATCTCTCGAATTTGTGCTGAGTGCATATTGAAAACTAAGCAAAGGAAAAGACAGTTACTGGCTTTACCTGCATCACTGTATCATTTATGTTTTCATTCTAAACAAAAAAAAATTGAATCTTGTAACAATGTTTAGATTTATCAGTGCTGGGTGGGGTAAATGAGTATTCATTGTACCTTTTTTACATGTTTGAAATGTTTCATAAAAATGTTTCAAATAATCACAAATAATATATGACTCCTCTGCTTAAACGTCTCTAAGAGCTTCTAACTCTGCTTTGGATTTTATTCTCTTAATCTTGGGTCACAAGACACTGTACTATCTTGGCGCCTTCCTATCTCTCTCCCTCCAGAACTGTTCCAAACCACACCGATAGTCTTCATTCCCTGGATCCAGTTCACCCAGTGCTTGCCAGCCCACCTTGGGGGCCTTTGTACATACTGTGCCCTCTTCTTGGCATCCTTCCACTGTTCTTTGCATAGTTATCTTCCTTAACCTTAGACTCTCTCACCTTTATTCTCACCTCAGAGAAACCTTTCCTGGTCACTCTAAAACTAGGTGATTTTTACTTTCTTATTCAATCTTTGAGCACCTGATTTGTGTCCTTTATAGCATCTGTGACAACTTTCATTTATTATATTTGTTCACTTGTTTTTCTTCTGTATTTTCCATTAGAATGTAGCTCCATGAGGACATGAACCTTATCTGTCTTGCTCACCATTGTATCACCAGCAGCTAACTTACCCAGTGCCTGGCACATAGTAGCAACTCAAATTTTGTTGAACGAATGAAAGATACTCAGCATAGCTACTCAGGAAGTTTCATCTGGTGATGATTAAACCTGAGTTAAATTTTGGCCTCATCCTTCCCAAACTGATCCTGTAACACAGGCTCTGAACATTGCCATCCCCTATCCCCAATGGGGATTTAAGGGACTAAAAGGTTTTTTGGGTTTTTTTAAAGATTTTATTTATTTATTCTTTAGAGAGTGGGGAAGGGAGGGAGAAAGAGAAGGAGAGAAACATCAGTGTGTGGTTACCTCTCACATGCCCCCCACTGGGGACCTGGCCTGCAACCCAGGCATGTGCCCTGACTGGGAATTGAACCAGCGACCTCCGGTTCACAGGCCAGCACTCAATCCACTGAGCCATACCAGCCAGGACTAAAAGTTATTTCTTGGTAAGGTGCTGGTTCTGTGTTCTGTGGATATTCATTGAGCTGTAGATTTATGTGTGTACTTCTCTCTGTGTATATTATGCTTTAATAATTTTTAAGTTAACAAATACCTTATATGCCTACTTTGAGGACAGAATGAGAGAATGTAAGTAAAACCTTGACATAATGCCAAACACAAAGTATACATTCAATAAATAGAAGCTGCTCTTACCATCTTCATCCAAGGGGATATGACTGATGTCATCAACCAACTAACTGTACTGTTGCCTTTCCAAAAGTAAATGCCTCCCTTCAATTTACATACCAGGAAAATAAGAAGTAAAATCTTAATCATGAGCAAAGGAGATAGAGCAGAAACACTGATACTTGAAAAGATGACCGTTTTCTCAGTATAATTTTTTCCTTTAGTGTTGATATTTGCTAGATCTAATTAATTTCAATAGTTTATTTTTAAAATAGTTAAGTTGTTAAATCCCTTAAACTAGATAAAGAATATAAACTCCCTGAGATTAGAGATTATATTTTCCACCATTGTGTCCCCAGTGTCTAAGCATAGCTCTTGGTGTTTTAATGAATTTTCACTGAATAGAAGAATAAAAATCAACTTTACCAAAAAAAGATTCTAATGAATTTTAGTACCAATTCCTCTGTATTCCCTTTCAGTATATAGTATATTGGCTTCTTCTTTTGGCGTACACCTTTATTTTATGCAAATTGACATCATAGTTGTTTGACTTTTCTCCAGGTTGGGCATACTGGTATTCACTGTTACTAACTGTAGTGCTATAAATATCTGTATAAATCACTTTTCTCCGTGTGTGTGTGTGTGTATATATATATATATTTTTTTTTTTTTTGCTATATGAATGAATCAGAGTATAGGTAGTTTAATAAATCTGCTTACATAGTCATTACCTAATAAATGATGATACTTTAAGAATTATAACAGTTCTGTGGATTCAGTGGATGCTCTAGTGATCATATCATGATTGATTTTATTGTACCCTCCTCCCAGAGTTTATGAGTGTAACAAACGCTGCAAATGTGACCCAAACATGTGCACAAACCGGTTGGTGCAGCATGGACTACAGGTTCGACTACAGTTGTTCAAGACACAGAACAAGGGCTGGGGTATCCGCTGCTTGGATGACATTGCCAAAGGTTCCTTTGTCTGTATTTATGCAGGTTGGTGATGAAAGGTTTGCTTTCGGAAGTTAGGACATGGTAGGGAATTGAATCAGAGACAAGTTTGAACATAAGAATAAAAAGCTTGACACATGAACTTGGGGGTGGGAGCAGGCCAGGGTTTTCTTCCTTAAAGAACATGATGAGCAATGTGCCTGTCTGGGTGGATTAGGGAGGGACAGAAGGGCTTCATAAGGACAAGAGTGAAAAGGGATGAAATTGTGGATGTGATGATGTTTCTGAGAAGGGACAGGGTATTAGAGTCAAGTGTATCATTTTCTCTCACTTAGCTCTACCCTATCACTCCACCCAGAGATCTTTTAGCATAGCTGAGAACTCTTTTTTTTTTTTTTTGTAAACAAAATAAAAAGGAACAGTGGGAAGGCAGAAAGGGCAAGATGTAAAACTACAGTAAGCTTTTTACACTCTCCTAGAGAAGACACAAAGGAGGGGGTATCATCAAAGAGAAATGAGACACCACAGTGGAGGCATTTTGACTTCATGTGTTGGTGGGCTAGGTATTGGTGGGATGACCCTCCTTCTAAAAAGATCTGCATAACTAGGAAGGCCTTTAATTCTCTTCATTCTCAGGCAAAATTCTGACGGATGACTTTGCAGACAAGGAGGGCCTGGAGATGGGCGATGAGTACTTTGCCAACCTGGACCATATCGAGAGCGTGGAGAACTTCAAGGAAGGGTATGAGAGTGATGCCCCCTGTTCCTCTGACAGCAGTGGTGTAGACCTGAAGGACCAGGAAGATGGCAACAGCGGTACAGAGGACCCTGAAGAGTCCAATGACGACAGCTCAGATGACAACTTCTGTAAGGATGAAGACTTCAGCACCAGCTCAGTGTGGCGCAGCTATGCTACCCGGCGGCAGACCCGGGGCCAGAAGGAGAATGGGTTGTCTGAGACAGCTTCCAAGGACTCCCGTCCCCCAGACCTTGGGCCCCCACATCTTCCGGTCCCTCTGTCAATCCCTATGGGTGGCTGCAATCCACCTTCCTCTGAAGAGACACCCAAGAACAAGGTGGCCTCGTGGTTGAGCTGCAATAGCGTCAGTGAAGGTGGCTTTGCTGACTCTGATAGCCGTTCATCCTTCAAGACTTGCGAAGGTGGAGAAGGCCGGGCTGGGGGAATCAAAGCAGAAGCTGAGAAGACCTCCACCTCAGGGCTGAGCTTCAAGGATGAGGGAGACATCAAACAGGCCAAGAAAGAGGTAAGTTCTGAGTGCTGGTTTTTGTGTAATTTTGATAACAAACTCAGTGCAATCTTACTATGAGTGTTTACACATCGGTTATTTAGTTATGGATATTTCTGTGGCCAACCTGGTTATCTCCCCTCCAGCCAGCACAATCCTAGTGTTTTTTAAAGAAAGAAATTATTTTAAAATCAACCTACTGGGTTGATTCATTCCAGTGTAAATGGTTTATAAGCAATTTTTTAAATTTAGTGCTGTTTCAAGTTATCTATATCATTACTTCCTTTTCTTAGAGAAATAAGAATTAATTTTAAATATTTTTTAATGATGTTGAAACTTACAACATTATAGGTACTGAACTGTGTTCATTGTCCTTGTAAGACTGCCGTGGTGGTTTTTATGAACATTTTATGCCTTATCATTGGGAAGGGTTGAAGACGTCTCCCAGGATGGTTTGCTGATGAGGATATGAATACTACTGTCAAGTTGCAGTCATTTCTTAACACATGTCTTACTTGAGAGAATGTAGCTCTCACTAACTAATGTCTTTGATGTCATTTGTGATGAATTCTAAATATTGGTTTTGTTGCCTAGGACTATTAAAACATTTAACCCTTCACTTGCTCTCTTGCCCAGGACCCCGATGACCGAACCAAGCTGTCAATGTAAGTGCCTCTTTTTGACCTGTTTCCAAATCTGCCTTCTCTCAAGCCTACAAAAGAAGACAAACAGCCAATAACCCAATTCCTCTCATTTCTTCCCTTTTCATCAGAGTTACTGAGAGCTCTAGAAATTACGGTTACAATCCTTCTCCCATGAAAACCGAAGGACTTCGCCGCCCACCTAGTAAGACTAGTATGCATCAGAGCCGTCGCCTCTTGGCCTCAGCTCAGTCCCACCCTGATGTAAGTGACCTTTCTCAAGCTATATTGTACCTCAGCCTTCTGCTTTATTGAGAATCTGAGTGAAGGAACATCCTTCTCTCCTCATCAAGTCCTTCACCACAATTACTGGTAGATCTTTTCTTGCTTGCCATGGCCTTGACTTCCTGCCCCATTTTTCCCATCCAACATGTAATCTTCTTCTTGCTATTGCCTCAGCTCCTTTCTGACTAACTGTAGGTAAGAGCAAGAACTTGAAGGGGCCCTCTGCATTTACCCCCTCCCTTCTTCTCACCCTTCTGCCTCCCCAGGATGTTCTGACTCTGTCCAGCAGCACAGAGAGTGAGGGGGAAAGTGGAACCAGCCGAAAGCCCACTGCTGGTCAGACGTCAGCCACAGCAGTTGACAGTGATGATATCCAAACCATCTCCTCTGGCTCTGAAGGCGATGACTTTGAGGACAAGAAGAACATGTCTGGTAGTCTGGAAGAATTTGGGGGGTAGTTGGAAGGAACTATAGGAAAGTTGAGATAGAGGTGTTTTTTATTTTTTTTAAATTACTGACTTTAGACAGGAAGGGGGGAGAGAAACACCAATTTGTTGTCCCACTTATTTGTGCATTCATTGGTGGTTTTTTGTAGGTGCCCTGACTAGAGAATGATCCTGCAACCTTGGCATAATGGGCAATGCTCTGACCAACTGAGCTACCCAACCCAGAGCTTGTTTTTTAGTTTTGTTGTTTTGTTTTTGTTTTTAGTGCTTACATGTTATGTACTTCACCTACCTAGCACCATACAGCTATTATATTTTGACTATATTCACTATGCTGTACTTGACATCCCTGTGACTATTTTGTGACTGCCAGTTTGAATTTGTTAATCCCTTTAATCCCTTTATCTTTTTTTTTTTTCTTTAAGATGGCAAATCCCTTTTTCACCCACCCCCCCACCCTTCCAACCCTCCATCTCCTTTCTGGCAACCATCAGTTTTCTGTTTTCTGTATCTATATGTTTGTTTTGTTCGTTCGTTTTATTCTTTTAGAGTTCTCATAGAAGTGATATCCTATAGTATTTGTCTTTCTCTGAGTTATTCCACTGAGCATAATACCCTCTAGGTCCACCCATGTTGTTGCAAATGGGAAAATTTCATTCTTTTTATGACCTAGTAATACTCCATTGTATATATGTATTACATCATCTCTACCTAATTGTCTATTGATGGGCATTTAGGTTGCTTTCATATTTTGGCTATTGTAAATAATACTGCAGTGAACAGAGGAATGCATATATCTTTTCAGATTAGTGTTTTGTTCTTTGGATAGAGAGCCAGAAGTGGAATTGCTGGGTCATAAAGTAGTTCTATTTTTAATTCTGAGGTATCTCCAACCTGTTTTCCATAGTGGCTGCACCAATTTGCAAACCCACCAACAATGCATGAGAGTTCCCTTTTCTCCACATCCTCACCAACACTTGTTGATTTATTGATGATAGCCATGTTGACAGATATGAGGTGATATCTCATTGTGGTTTTAATCTGCATTTCTCTGATGATTAGTGACATTGAACATCTTTTTATGTATCTGTTGACCAACCAGGAGTAGAGGATTTTTTAAAGGAAGCTAAAGAAAAAATTCAGATCCTAACAGTTGAAACATCTCTTACTGGGCTCCCTGGCTTCTAAACTGTTAATATTGTTTGACACACCTCCTTGCTGTCTTCTTTCCATTTCCCTACTTTTCCCTCACCTCCTTTATCCAGCAGATCTAATCCTCCTTGAAGAAACTGCCAGGATCTTTGCCTCAGTCCCATCTTATTGTTATTCCTGAGCTGCAGCGCATGGAATGAAAATGGGGACAGACTGTCCAGTCATGAGTTGGGATGGGATGGGTCCTGACCCTGTTCTCCTTCCTGTCTAGGTCCAATGAAACGCCAGGTGGCAGTAAAATCAACCCGAGGCTTTGCTCTGAAATCAACTCATGGGATTGCCATTAAGTCAACCAACATGGCATCTGTGGAAAAGGGGGAAAGTGCACCTGTTCGTAAGAACACACGCCAGTTCTACGATGGTGAGGAGTCTTGCTACATCATCGATGCCAAGCTCGAAGGAAACCTGGGCCGCTACCTCAACGTGAGACCCTTTCCATCACATCTAGATGCTAGATTATGCCATGGTCTTCAGATTTCTAGTATTTTAACACAAATTATATAAGCCTTTTCTTGTTATGAAGTCTTAAAGAGGTGTTTTTTTCGTTTGTTTTTTCAAAACTGCTGTGATGGGATCAGGTGGCATCGTTTTTTATCCCGCTTGCACTTGCCCCACAAAGCCAGATTCTGTTTCCTTGGTTCTTACTGATCCTGTCCTTAAACCTACAGCACAGTTGCAGCCCCAACCTGTTTGTCCAGAATGTCTTCGTGGATACTCATGATCTTCGCTTCCCATGGGTGGCCTTCTTTGCCAGCAAGTAAGAGGGGGTCAGGAAGAGGGTAGTTGGGTAGGAAAAGCAGCCCAGGATTGGGAAGGGGCAAGAATAATTGAAATTCTATGGGCCCCTCCTCCATCTGTGATCCAGTTCCACCTGTATTCTCTGTAATCCCAGGTATCCAGGTTGTCTGCTATCTTCCCATCCCAACCTTTTCTTCCTTTGTAGGAGAATCCGGGCTGGGACAGAACTTACCTGGGACTACAACTACGAGGTGGGCAGTGTGGAAGGCAAGGAGCTGCTCTGCTGCTGTGGGGCCATCGAATGCAGAGGACGTCTTCTTTAGAGGACAGCCTTCTTCCTAACCTTCTGAGTCCTTCCTGAACTGACCCTTCCCCCAAAACTGGGTCTTCCTGACTGTTGAACTGTGACACCCCCCGCAACCCCCCAGCCACCAAGTCTCCAGTCTAGCTATACTCCCAACTCTTAGTAGATAGAAATGGGGGTTCTGGATCAGGAGATCCCTTTCAATGTGGTGCTAGCAGGCAGGGTCCCTCCTCCACCCGAGACACTAGGGGTAGTGAGAGGTTATCACTCTAACCTGGGCCTGACATCTCTTCAGTCCTCCTGTTGCTCATCCCTCCCATCCTGTTTGTTCAAGTGTTCATGCTTCTAACACACTTTACTCCTGGTATGAGGGCTGTGTATTTACTATCCCTGGTTTGTATTGTTTCTTGAAAGTCTTTTAATAAGATGTTAAGACTAAGATTGTGATTTGATTTTTTTTTTCCCTTCAGCACCCATCCTCCCATTCCTGGGCCTTTCAATGAGCGATCTGTTTCCCTCCATCTTTCCTGATGGGCAATTGTCATTAGTCTTGTACCTTCTCTACTGTTGCTTTTTATTTGCCGCTTGAAATTTTTTAAAATTTGTTATGCAACCATGAGGAAGGTACGAGAAAGACTACCTTAGTTTATTTAGTTGATCCCCTTCTAATTCCTAATAGTCTCAGACACTTGTTGCCGTGTTTTACTTAATCTTTAATATATTTTAATTAAAAAAAAACCATTAACAGTACATTTTGGTCTGAAGTGGTCCCACTGCTAAAAGGCCAGGTGCTAGCTGTAATTCTGGCTTTAAAACCAAAACCCCAAATGTTTAATAAATAAAAAAAATTAGAACTAGTTGCCATTCTACTCCAAACCAACTAGCCTAGGGGAAAAGGCCAGAGAAAGGAGGCGGTAAGATCTTGGACCTGTGACTACAGGGACATCTGGCAGAAAAGTAACACACAGACTGTCTGAGCAGTCCCCAGTATGGCCCCCCACTTTTTGGCAGAGGTAGGGTAAGGGTCAAGTTTACCCTCCTACACTCAGTTCATTTGCATCTTAGGAGAGAAAAGGTTAAAGTCAGCTCAGCTTTGGTTTCTGGTCCACGTTAGGGAGTTTAGAAAGGTGAGCCTTGGTCCAACTTTGGCAGAATGAGGCCCACAAATGGGACAATAAGGCACAACCCTGGCTCTGGAGGTCAGGGAGTCAAAGGCAAACAGCTAGGGCCAAATTCTGAAGGATAAGGAATGTGAGTTGTAATCCCCACCCCTACAGCTGAGAAAGGGTCTTGAAAACAATAGAAAGGACAGGTGGAAAATAAGACTATGTCCCTTGCTGTCTCCCCACAATGAATGTCACCAACCCTCCCCCAGGGAGAGACGTGGGGACAGGTTGGTCAGGACTTGGTTTAAAGGCAACTGGGTGACAAGCAGGGGGTGGGGGGTACAGAGAAGTACGCTCCTCTGGCTTTCTCCTTTCTCTCCAGAGCTTAACGTGACCCTATGGGGGCGGGGGGTTGAGGGCGAATAGTTCCTTGGCTTTCCACATTAATCTGAGGGGTGGCAGGGACAGTGGTTCAGTCATTCTTACGATGGTTGTTGATGAGGATGGGGTGGCCATTGGCTAGGGCCCGGCTCTTTGCTCCTCCCCCAACTGCGACCTCTTCCCCCTCTGAGCTCTCTGTTTCTTCCCGGTCACTGCGTTCATCTTCTACCTGCTGTGGAAAGGGATGAGAAGGGTTACTTGATGTCCTCAAACCTCGAAGTGTTGCCTCTCGATATGGGCTTGTTCCAGTTATTCCTAGGGCCCCACAGTAGGTTTTTAGAGGGTTGCTGGTATGGGAGGGATTTGGGGCAGTTTCTAGAGTTGAGGGTAGTAGGGCCCACAAAATGCGAAGAGAGCTTTCACCTTTCCAGTTATGAACTTGTGGGCCATGCGCAAAATGAGGTAGGCCCAGAAGATATGCAGCATCTGTAGCACTCCCATCATGGAATTGAAGAAGTAATAGCCAAAGAAGGCAGGATAGAGTTCCAGTGGGTACACCACAGTGCAATGCAGGATCCTGGGGATGGGAAGGGAGAGACCGTTGTGAACACAGAAAGGAGGGGGTTAAGATGGCAGATAGATAAATAGTGGGAGGTGAGACTCCTGATTTCATGAGAACAGGAGTACATTCTGGTCTCCTACTCACCAGAACGGCAGGATGACCAGTCGGGTGATGATGAAGACGATGGCAAAGACGATGAAGATGTTGTTGCAGGTGTTTTTCCATCCCGCATAGTTAAACATCTTGGCTGACTGCATAGACAGCCCCCATCCGTCATCATGGGCTCCTGACTCTCCCGTACACATTCACTGTACACCCCAGTTACCACACTGGCTCTGTGCCCCCAACTCCTCAAGTCCCAGGAATGTCACAAACCCCAAAAGGATAGAGGGACAGGAAAACCCATACCAGGGTCTCTAGGTTTGAAGAAATGCCCAAAAAGCCTGACCTCTAGCAGGTAGTCGGAAGAGTCATGCAGAGCCATGATGAGAGTCCCTGCTCGGATGTAATTGGCAAACCAGGAGAAACTGATGAGAATGATAGTGGCCACGTGGTGGATGATCTGTTCCTTGAAATCCTGCAGAAAAGATGTAGGCACCAGGGGACTTTTTCCTGTCCCTAAGTCTCCACTATTCCTTCTTCCTCCCCCTCACCTTTAGTTCCCCATATCCCACAGCTCCATCCAAAGCACCCAGAAATCAAAGAGCAAACTGTTCATCATGGCTTCATCTGGGCTTCTAGCCTTAATGGCACAGTCCCTTGAGGTACCTTTCGCTTAACATCAGAGGCGATGCTGAAGAGCAGGGACCAGTAGAAAGAAAGTTCAATCATATAGTACCAATACTGGGAAGGGATTGTGCTCTGGAAGAGAGAATGAGAGGTTAGGTAAGGGGCCCCGGACTAACGACTCGAGTCACAGCTCTCCAAATGAGCCCTTCTGGCCTCTCAGATTGTTTAGCACCATGACTCCAGTCCCTTCTGCCATGTGCTCCAGAGTTTCTCTCTTCACAGGGGTACATGCATCCTAGTCCTGTCCGGCACTGATTCTCCTAATCACCCCCATATAAGGAAATCAGGACCCCTTCTCATACCTGTATGGGATATCCCTCCCAAACTTTCTTCATATCATAGAACCAGGGTTTCTGCAAAGAGATGGTGAGAGGTTAAAAGGCTGCTTGTGGCTCAGTGGATTGAGTGCCAGCCTGTGAACCAAAAGGTCAGTAGTTCAATTCCCAGTCAGGGCACATGCTTGAGTTGCAGGCCAGGTCCTGAATTAGGGGTATGCAAGAGGCCACCAATCCATGTTTCCTTACATAGCATTGATGTTTCTCTTTCTCCCTTCCCCTCTCTCTCAAAATAAATATTTTAGAAAAAGAGGAGGCACCCAAATTCTATGACCTCCCCCCACGTTGCCAGAGGACCTACTCCCACCTCCCTGTAATCCCCACTCACATCCACAATGACAGCCATGCCAGCAATGAAAGCAATCAGGTAAAATGTGAATCTCCAGCTGGAAGAGAAAGCAGAAATGGCTAGGATAAGAGTGGAGCGGGAGAAGGGTACAACCCTGCGAGGACCCCAGAGACCCTCGGGAATACCTTGGGTAACCATACTGATCTGACCGGGGTGAAATCTCACCCTGCATACAGCCACTGTCCACCCTTCCCAGCATGATACATCAGACCTTCCTCAGCTTCTCGTGCTCCAACCTCCCCTACCAGGCTTCTCGGAACTTCTTGAGAAGACTTGGCCGGTCCTGGTTGCGGCGGCGGCGGAACCATCGCTCTACCTGGCGGCCGGAGAGCCCACTCTGCCGGGACAGCTGCTCTACCTCCACCTGGGTATATGAAGAAGCCCATCACACTGGCTTCAGAAGTCAGCAGTGCCTCACACTGTCCCACCCTCTCCAAGTCATAGCCTTGTAGTAAGTCTGTACCACTGCTTTCCCATTTCTCCACCCACCAGAGCTGATATTCCAACCCATTCCTTCCTTTTCCCTCCCTGAGAGAACTCAGTAACTTTGAGAGCAGGTCTGCAGCTCATACCTGCTTAGGATGCTTGCCGCTGGTCAGGTAAAAGTGCTCCAAAGTGGGGTTGGGAGGAGCCCGCAGCCGCGTTTTCTCCTTTACATTCAGAAGAGCAGCCAGTGGTGTGGCCACGTAACTGAGGAAGGGACATGAGTGAGAAGTGTCTGGCTCTCCTGAAGCACCTCAGTGTCTTGGTAGCCCCTACGCTGGGAGGGGAAAGGACTGCAAGCTCAGACTCTACTCCAGCCTCAGTTTCCTGGCAATCCCCTCTGGCTTCCTTGGACTGCTCAGCGCTGACAAAGCTGCCTGTGTTCACAAGTGACCAGGCAGGGTGGAGGGTGAGAACAAATAACCATTGACAGAACGGGCCAGGGGGTGCTGAGCCCTCAGAAAGACAATGCTGCCTTCAGTGGGGGACACACAGTAGGCAGGGACCTGGGTGCCCAGAATGCCAGGGTCTAGGACCAATTAAACAGCAAGACACACACTTGAAGCGGGCAGCCAGGGAAGGCATGGGGGTAGGCTAGTGTGCTCACAGCTCAAAGAAGTGTCGAATGATGAGGAAGAGCAAGGCCAGGGGTAGTGTGATATAGAGGTCTGAGGCTTTGGCGTAGATGCGTCCATCTCGGTCTTCGAGATCAGCCCAGGTTAGGTTCACAGGCAGCCACAGTCGTTCCCACCAGAAGTAGTCATACAAGGTCTGGAGCATCCTGAGTGAGGAGGCGGGGAAGGTAGAGGGCATCAATGAGGACAGCCACGGGGGAGAGAGAAGTGACAGTTTTCATGGTTTAACAAAAGGAGCAGAGGGCAGAGACTCAAGCCCTGGGCTCAGGTCCTGGTAATGTAGCTTCGACAAACCAGTTTCCTCATCTGTAATGTGGTGGCTTTCCAGTTCTATCATTCACTATTTACAGTAGTTGAAGGTGATGCTGATACCCCCACCCCCAAGAAGTCCTGATACCCTAGAACAACAGTCTTGGGTTTCCCATCATTTTGCTATCCCAGCATGGAGGACAGGCAGGATCTGGTCCTAGAAGCCAACAATCTGAGTAAAGTCAGAGGCACGGCCCTACCCCTGACTCTCCAGTCACACAGCGAAACAATGACCGCAAGCTTCCTTGCCGGGAAGTTCAAAAACAGATTTCAGGGCTGGAGCAAACCCTCCCTTCCCCTTCCCGACAACCCCATGGTTCCTAGGGAAAATTAAGAGACCAGAGTAAAGCAAAATTATGTCCCCAAATGGGCTGGGCTCTAGGACAATCAGTGGACTATTGCACACAAGATTAATACCCATGCCAAACTGCCCAATTCCTACACATGAAGCAGAAGACTCTGATTGGAAGGGTCTTTTCAGAAGGAAAATGAAAGCAAAGCTGCAGAGAGTCAGGACCTA